TACCGACAAGCAGTTGGTAAGGGTACTCCTCCTCAACTTCAGAAAAAACAGCTGTCTTTCATGGCCTTCGGTTTCGGTGCTGGAGGAACGGGTCCTGGCAGGCGAGAGTCCCATATCAACATCAATGTAGCTCCTACGTCGCATGAAATCAACGACACCCCAGAAATTAGGAAATACAAGAAGAGATTCAATTCTGAGATCCTTTGTGCTTCTCTATGGGGTAAGTTTCTTGTTCTAAAAAGTACGGATAAATAAAGAGAAATGAAAAAAGGAAAATTTATTTTAAAGTCATACAGGGGTTTCAGTTATATATATAATTTTTCATTTTTTATGATTTTGCAGGAGTTAACTTGCTGATTGGCACCGAAACTGGTCTTATGCTCCTCGACCGGTCTGGTGTAGGTAAGGTGTACCAGCTAATCTCTCGGCGAAGGTTCCAGCAAATGGAGGTGCTCTCTGACCAGAACATCTTGGTAACCATATCTGGGAAGAAAAACCGCGTGAGAGTCTACTATCTCTCTTGGCTCAAGTCCAAGATCCTTCGCACAGATGCTGTAAGTGGCTTCATCCTCACATTGTTTTTTTTTCTCATATTCTTGTAATGTATACGTAAACATATAAACAGATTTAGAAAAGTATGAATCAAAATTAATATCTTCACAGTGCAAGAGATCTGTATGACTGATTTTGATTATATCCATCAGAAATGCATACATCAGCAAAATTACAAAGCATATATATATATATATTAGTTCCCTAGTTTATATCCTCTTTTGTCCTCCCTGTTCATCTAGGTATTTGATTCTTGAACATTTCTCCAACAGCAACAAGTCGAACGTCGCAATGGCTGGATCAACGTAGGAGACCTTCATGGGGCAGTTCATTTCAAGATTGTCAAATATGAGCGCATCAAGTTCCTGGTCATCGCCTTACGTGACTCTATTGAAATTTATGCATGGGCTCCTAAACCTTATCACAAATTTATGGCATTTAAGGTGAGTCATTGGATTTTGCAGGATTATGATGTCTGTGTGTTGTCTGATGAGGATTTCATTTTTGAGGTCCTAGCCCTTTTTGCATTATTTATTTCTTTTTTTCCTTTTATCAAGAGGAACCTTAAAGTCTAGTCTGCAAGTAAATGCCATCTCAGTAATTTGCTTTACAAAATCAGATTTATTATGATGTCCAGTATATATGAGAAAGAGCAAGTGGAAACCAAATATAAAACAAAAGTGAGAGTTAATCCTAAAGTATTTTTCTCCTAATTCACTGATTAGTATTAAAAGTAGATGTGTGCGTGTGTGTATGTATATGTATGTTGTATTTGTGTATATGTATATATTTATGTATGTATGTATTTGTGTACATACTCTTACACGAGTATTGATAGCAAGGTTTTACACACACTCTCTGTGAGCATTCGGTGGAAATTGACTTAGAAATTCATAACTGAAGGCACATGTACTGAGGTGTGTGTATATATATATATATATATATATATATATATATATATATATATATATATATATATATATATATATATATATATATATATATATATATATACATATATATACATATATATACATATATATACATATGAAAGATGGAATAATGCTATGCTGTATTGATATAGATATATAACAATCCTCCCTGCCTAACACTTTTCCAACTCTCCTCTTTCTCTTTCTTTATACTGACCTTTGAAATACACCTCCGTTTGCAGAGTTTTGGTGAGTTGGTCCAAAAGCCTTGCCTCGTAGATCTGACAGTGGAGGAAGGATCCCGACTCAAAGTGGTGTACGGCTCTAACCAAGGATTCCACGCTGTCGATGTTGACTCTGGACAAGTTTATGATATATATATCCCTAAACATGTAAGGACTGGAAGCTTAAGGTTATAGTTCTTTTTCCTGCCTTTGTTAGTCTTATTTCATTTTTTAGAATTGTTTTGATTCTGTGTTTTGCTTTTTTTTCATATTAATAGTAGTGTAGTAATGATAGAATTGTTTGTAGACATGTATAAATGCATTTTGAGGTAGTTCTGAGGATTTATGCATTTTCTATTTATTCTTTTCTCTGTTGCAGATCCAAGGCAGTATCACACCACACACGATAGTGACATTACCCAATAGTAATGGTCTACAACTACTTATCTGCTATGACAATGAAGGAGTTTATGTAAACACATATGGAAAGGTATTTATCTTAATCCTCAAGTATTTTACACTACTGTATCTCCGATCTAATGGAATGTTGATTTGGATGTACATATAAGTGTCTTGATATATACATAGTAAAATAATGACAATATACTAGGGGGAACTCAGTGATATGTTATAATATGTTGTGTAAAGGGGGAATGGGGGCAGAGGAGAAAACCATGGATGAATGAAATCTTCAAGGAATTACCAGAATCACTAGTTCACACTCACTATGTTTCATTCACAAGAAGATAGAGGCAGGAAAACAACTTATGATTGCCTCAGGCAGAGGGAGGGCCTGGAGGTGGTGATGTGGGTGTGACTGAAGGAAATTTGTCAAACAGTAGAATACATATTAGTGGCCATTACATTCATCTCATTCATAATAAAAAAGTCATGGGGAAAATCTTTCCTATTTTTGACCGGCTTCCCATAACAGTGGCAAAATAGGACTGTGATGTTTTGTTTATTTGATAAGCTGTATCAAGAAGGTGATAAGCCATTTTCCATGGAACAGATTCCATATGTCTTTGCACTATAACAATAACAAAATGTAACATTTTGATATTTGTATCATTTTTCAATATTTTAGTTATTCATTTTTCTGTAACACACCATGGTGTTCTCTCAGGAGGAGGCATGCTTTCACCTTATGGAGGGTACATTCTACCTCCATTTAACAGTGGAAATAATATAAGAGCCTCTTTGTAAATACCAATAATGGTATAGTCCTATCACCCAGCCCTCGCCCAAATTTTTTTAAGATGTGATGGTCATGTTAACTAGATCCAAGAGGTTAAGATGAAACTAATAATGAATGCATCATAGAATGAGCCAGCAGCATCCTCTGTATGCCAAACCTAAACATTCACTGCAATTCATCTTTTGGCCAGTTTGGTTTGTTGAAGGACACTCTGTATGTTGGTTAAAATTCAGGCCATATCATAGTTTGTTCATGAATTTTCCAGACAGTTTACCACTACATTATTCCTTTTGTTCCCCAGTCTTATGGCAGCAAAGCAATAGGGCCCTTTTCAGTGTTTGTCTGTGTTTCATGTATTTAACAAAAAACTAACTTTTAAGGGGGAGTTGCCACAAAATTACAATTACATTACCCTTTTTTTTTTTCTAACTTCTTTAACAGTAGCTTAAAAATTACTGGACCAATTTTATAAAGGAAGAAAATTACTGTTCAGGATCTCCATAAGTTGGTAAGAGCTTCAGAAAAATGGAAAAAAAGTAAATGGTCCCCATAATCCAAAAACTATCCTTATGGTTTACAATAAACCCTAGACTATATCCCTAAAAATTCAGATAACTCAGTCACTTTTAATTCTGTCTAAATTCCATTTTTCTTGCCCTTCTTCCATAGAACATTTTTATTTTATATTAGCAACCCCAGGGCTTCCACCAAGATAACTCACAATTACCATTCCACACAGGTGACAAAGAACATGATGCTGCAATGGGGTGAAATGCCAACGTCTGTAGCCTTCATTGGCACAGGCCAGATCATGGGCTGGGGTAACAAGGCTATTGAAATCCGGTCAGTGGAGACCGGACACCTTGATGGAGTCTTCATGCACAAGAAGGCACAGAAGCTGAAGTTCCTCTGTGAGCGTAATGATAAGGTGAGACAACCTGTGTATGTATGTGCATGTGTGAGTGCACATTTGCTTAATGTGTGATATTGTTTTTCTGGTATATTTCTTTATCTGCTGTATTTGAAATGGGATCTTGGTCATTCAAAATGTTAGAGTTTGTTAGTTGTTTATTATTGGAGCTGCATTTAATTTTATATGATTTCCCTCATTTTCAGCAGTTAATTTAATTCATAAATAACTTACTGGAAAGAAAAATCACTCATTGCATCATGTAATTCACAGGTATTCTTCTCATCAGCAAAGGGAGGATCGTCGTGCCAAATTTACTTTATGACGCTCAACAAACCTGGCATGGCAAACTGGTAGATGAGTCACCAGTGTGTACTGTAGATAACTGGTAACCCATCACCAAAGGGAATGTCTTCCTTGGTTACATTAGTATTTCAGGATCCAAGGAACAAACTGCCATGGCTGTATGTTAGATTGTCACCAGTAGAACAGGTGCTCATTCAGTCAAAACAGCTGAATGATTTCTGTCTTCAAGTAGGAAAAGAAAAACTAAATAAATATATAAAAAAGGCACTTAGGAATGTGAGAGACAGAGAGAGGGAGAGAGAGAGAGAGAGAGAGAGAGCGAGAGAGAGAGAGAGAGCGAGAGAGAGAGAGAGAGAGAGAGCGTGTGAGTGAGTGAGAGAGTGAGAGAGAGAGAGAGTGTGTGAGTGAGTGAGAGAGTGAGAAAGGTTTGAGTTGGCATGAACAAATGCCATCCTAGACATAGTAAATTGGCCCTTTAAGGCTACATGCAATGCCTAGAATGCATAACCAACTCCAGCCACCATTTGTAACTCCTCTTGCTGTGGTTTCCAGCACGGGAAAGCTTCTTGTGCATTATGGTTGGGCTGATGAGTGTTGTAGTAACATGAACTCTTTCATTTTAGTTTTTGTTTGTTTGTTTCCTGTTTTATATTATTTTTCATTTTAGTACTTTTTCATTTTACCTCAGATGGGTGCCACATAAAAGTTATCAAGGCAGAAACCATATCTGAAAGGTGATTGTACAAGTCTGCTCAGCATATGTGAAATATACTCAATTATGTATGGCAGATTTGACATTTGAATATATATATATAGATATTATAGCAAGGTCATGTAACTTGTTCAATATACTTGCTCAATTCAGGCCTTGTATGATTATTTTTTTTATATATTGAGGGTATGAAATTGCAGAATTAATGAAAAATTATGAGTGAATAAATTTTAAGATATTGACTGTTCTCTTTACCACAAATTTTACCTCCCAGAACTCATTGGTAGTAATGTGTAAAGTGTAAAAATGGGGAAAAATGAATACCCAGAAAAAAATGTGTGCTGATATTGATAAACATGTGTAAAGATATGATGTGTTAGTATAGTGTAAAGGTACTCAGTTTTCGAGCTGCTGATAAACAGCTCGAAAATGTGATCCACCCTCCCCCTCCTCCCTCCTCCCCCAACCCCCAGAGGACAGTCTGAATGGCAGCAGGTAAGATAAGGACAGGGGACGGATGAAGACTGTTGCTAGGTGTGAGGATGGAGCATCATAGCAGGTTGTAGCACACATTGGGTAATGTTATAGGGTTGCTTTGAGCCATTTTGAGATGGACACACATGCCAAAAAAGAAAAAGGAAGAAAAGAAAAAGAGAGAAAAAGAAAAGGAGTTGATTTTCTTTTCTAAAAATTTTGTTCACGACAAGAAATCAAAAAAGTTTGTGTTTGGGCATCACTTTTCCTGTATGAATTTTGTGTTCCACAAATGGGTTTCTCCATTGCAATGAAAACTATATATTGTATCCATACCCACCATCCTACCCAGTGTATGCAAAACCACATGCTGACAGATACTCCAAAGGTGTACTTTTCTATCTTTTTGCAGTCTTATCTGGGCCAGTGCCTTTTGGATGTGCAGACGAGTAAAAGATTTGCCATAGCGGAAAATCTGAAAGGGTTTGTGAGAGAAGTGGTTTGTGTACCCGACAGGATTCTTACATGTTTGTACACAGGATTGATGGTTTTGTCTTTGAACTGAGACATCATTCCATTCTTTATTTTTTATTAATTTTTTTTAACTTATGATTTTTTTTCTTTTTTTTTCAATGCAGTAAATGCAAATCATGGGGTCACATTCCTGTTGTAGACTGTGCAATGTAAATCTGAGCTTTTAAGTGAAGCCAAAGTGTGAAGATTTTAGCTAGAATTGAAGATATTTGCCCCTTTCCCTTAAACTTAGATTTATAAATGAAAAGAGTATGCATCCCTGTAGATGTAAAAAAAAATAAATAAAAAAAAATGTATAAAAAAAATTAAAAATCTGTTTCTATGGTGCTCTCTCGTCATCCAAAGTAACAGTATGTATCATCTTAAAATGAGAAATCCGGAGGTCATGAGACAGCTGACCAATCTGTTCATCTAAGTTCTTTCTACCTTACAATTGGATTCAGCCAGAGTGGCCACCGTACTGTTGCACTTTTGACAAGTGTTCAGTGTGACACAGTACTAAAGAGAGAAAAAGAGAAAAAAAAGTATAAGAAAAAAACAGAGGCATCATGAAGAGGTATAGAGGAAACAGCATCTCTAAATCCCTGCCACCATAATGTTACATAATTTCCCTCTCCTGATCATCATAAAATCATCATTTTGGTAAATGCTGTGCTATATATACTATATATTCTCTTTTATTTTTGCAAATTGGCAGATTTAGTTAGTTTTAAGCTTTGAAAATAAAGGGAAAAAGTGCAAGAAAAAATATATTATGTTTTTTGGAATTTGTTGAGTGTTAAATTGCAAATTTTTCATGGGTCAATGTTGAATATTGATAAAACACAGCTGAGAAAGGAGAAAAACAAGAGAAATACCTGTTAAGATTGTTCTCATCTAGATATTGTTACATGTGATTATAAACATATACATGTATTGTTTATTTGAATAAGCTACCTTCATGATTGTTTTATCTTTTTATGATAGAAATACATACATCATTATATTGTATATTAATCATTCTATTAGTAAGATGACATGAAACATGGCATGAGGATGGGAACAGGTCTAGGCAGTTTATCCATTCATATTCAGGAAAAATTTGTTAGATCGATAATTGAGTGTGATTGAATGAAGTGTTTTTATGCTGAGTATGATCTCCAGGGTTAAATGCGTTATTGCTATCTTTATAATGGTGGTGTAGATGAGGATTTATTGTCGGAAATATACCACATGTAAGATATTTTTAGTGCTGACCAATGATTGCCGCTGCCCTCTCTGTCTTGTATGCTCTTTATATCATTAGCTTAAACAGTCATTTTATACTTTAGAAATATCAAAGCCTTTGTATTATGAGTGTTAATGGTAAGTTCTTTTTTAACTTATGCATCTTATAGTGAGGCACAATCTGTGCATTTACTGGGACTCTTGTGAATATATTGAACCTTTCCTATTTAATTTGTTTATTTTACAATACTCCCATGGTAATTTTGAAGAAAATGTATATACTTTTCATTATTTGTATAAGAAATATACAGATCAAAAGGCATTCATTACTTTTAATGGAGCTGATAGCTGTCAGTTATAATATGCACATGAATTTCAATAAAGAATTCATCAGAATTTTTCTTTATACCCTTTATTGGTTTGTTAGGATGTAAGTGAAATGGGGAATTTGCTAATGAGTTGGACAAATAGTAGACAAAATGGCCATTCCTAAAAGTACATGGAATGATACTCAGAGTTCAGCCAGTAATCATAATTACTCCTAAGGAGACTTTTCCCTGGGGATTGGAAGAAAATTGCAAAATCTCAAAAAAAAAAAATATTTGCAACTTTTTGATACCACATATTTAGGTAATGGCACCCCTTGGGGAAAAAATATTTTGTATATATCATTCCTGCAAAATTATTACTGTAATTCACATATGAGGGAAAGAGAGAATAAGGGGAATGGATTACACAATTATGGACCCCCCCAATCCCTTGCCCGTTGTTGTCGTGGGGGGGCTTAGGAGGCGGAGACTGGGACCCAATGATGGGGAACTCCCCAACCTTGGGACTCAGCCCTCGACTCAACTAATTATGCATGGTCTTTTTTTTCCCTTCCCACTTTTGTTTCTGTCCCTTCACCAAACCCTTCTGCTATCCACCTCCTAAGGTGTGAGAGCCGTGCTGAAAGGATGAAAGGCTGACTTTGTGCCAGTCCTGAACGGCCTGAGGGAGCCATGGGCACGGTATTCCCCTGATTTAGTATCTAGCCCTTACCCCTCAAGGGGACCCTGAGGGGTGGACTGTTTTTATCCCCAACATAACCAGGCTTACCATGGCCAGTAAAAAATATATCCCCACTGTTAGGGGCAATGAGGCTTGCCCCTTTATCAAATAGCCCCAAAGAAGTAAACCCACCCAATTCCCCGACCCCAGGCTCTCCTTTGACCACGGCTCCGAACACTGCAATAACTGCCCCTTCACCAATGCCTACTAGTCAGTAGCCAACAATCAACCCTCATGGAACATTTCCACTCTCCCAGCATGCCCAACTTCAACACCTCTACCCCCACAACCTCCAACATCAACCACCCCATCCTCCCTTATTAATACCTTACAGCCTTATAGCCCATCTCTCCATAACACTACCTCCATCAACACTACTCCATCTTCGTCACGCCCTCGCCCTTCTACCACCCCTATCTCTAAAACAATCTTGAATACTCTCTTCAGTGCAGCCAAATGGAACCGATTTTTCGTGATCCCTCCCACAGCTCCCTACTCTGACAACACCCTTCTCTTCCAACAATGCCTCCAAAAACAAGTAGGTAAAGTCTCTTTCCATAGCCGACCCGACCGCTCCCGTCTTGTAACAGTAACATCCGAAAACCAAGCCATAGCATTAACAAAACTAACTGACCAATATGGTAACCCCATCCTAGCAGAACCCCATCCAACCCTCAATACTTGCACCGGAACAGTCTCAATCTCACCAGCAAATTGCCCAATCTATGACAAAGATTGGTCAGATTGTGGAGAAGATCTACTTGCCTGTCTCACAGACTACGATGCAACATCAGTACAATGCTACTCCATCCCCCCCAGAGGTCATCGAAAGAAACCCACTAACATAGCCAAAATTACCTTCCGTAGACATGACCTTCCCTTTAACGTCTACATAGGAGGAGAATCCCTCCCTGTTCGTCCATACCAACCTCCTCCACGTCAGTGTCAAAATTGTTGGCGTCTAGGACACCCAGCCAAACACTGCCGTTCCACAGCCAGATGCCCATTATGTGCCCAACCTGGCCATACCCGATCTAACTGCTCTGCACAATCACGCACATGTGCCAACTGTGGCGGCCCCCATAATGTATTTTATAGGGGCTGTCCCACCTACAAATTTGAATCTGAGGTAGCAACTCTCAGATTCAAACTTGGACTCACACTGCGTGAAGCCAGACAGGAAGCACGTCGACGTGGATTCTCTCTTACTCCTTACTCCAGTAATACTGCTCATTCTAACACTTCTCCTAAACCCACCCCTCCTACATCTAACCCCCCCACTTCTACCTCCTACCTTCCCCAGTCAAACTCTTTTGCCATCCTAAATCCAGAAACTCCAATCTCTAATACAGATACTCCAATCACCACTACAACCCCAACACCTTCCCCTCTCCCTCCTCGCACTCCCCGTAACAGACAGAACAAACGTTCCACCCCCTCTTCCCCTACCACACAATCACCACCATCCTTTGCCCCTACTCTTGAGACACCAGTCCTCTCTTCCCCCCCTTACAAGAAATCCTTTATCCCCCACAACTCCCCAACCAACTCCTCAGAAGAAACTATCCCCCAAAACTCCCCAACCAACTCCTTAGAAGAAACTATTGAAAATATTCAAGATTACTTAATGCAAACTGACACTCGACCTACAACCCCTGCTCCTTCCACACTCCAAGTAACTGCTGATATCCATCCTCCTCCTAACGATATCCCCCCCTACACCCTATCCTCCTACCCCCTCCCAACACAGCCCATCCCCCCCGACCCCGACCCCAACCCCGCCCACATTAACCCTCCCACCATCCCCTCTATCCCTTCCACTCCCTCCTGGATACACACGTGAATCCCTTATGTCACAAGTATCCCCTTCCTCAGACCCTCCATCTCCTAATACCCCTCCTGATAGAACACCAACTCCCACATATCTCCCATCTCAAACCTCTCAGTCCTTATCCCACCCTCTAGCTGCTTCCCCCTCAAAATATCCAACACGTACTGCAATCTATAACACTAAATCAACGAAAGTATAACTATCCTTCATTGGAATATTCGCGATTTTCGCTCCCACAGACCTGACCTTCGTCATATCCTTTCCTCTTATAACCCATCTATTGTATACCTTCAAGAAACCTTTCTTACACATCCTCCAATACCAATCCCCAATTATCATTTTGTCTCTTCCCCACATTCCCTTTATGTCTCGTCCATACTTATCAATCAGAAAACACCTTATGTCACACCACCCTTTCAAACCAATGTCCCTTGCACAGCTATACGTATCTTCCTTCATTGTTGGATCACAGTGATTTCAGTCTACTGATGTCACAATCTGATCCACCCCTATGTTCCTTATGTAATGTTCCCCTTTCAATCGTACACATCCTATTGTCGTGCCCACGTTTTGAAACAGCCCGTACCTCTGCTTTCCCCCACCTATCCTCCCTTTACCGACCTCCCAACCTATCAGACATCCTTACAGAATCCCACACTTTCTGCATCAACAACCTGTTCTCTTTCCTCAAACGCATACATATCCTTTATCTAATCTAACACCCGACCTTAACCCTTTGACTCACCAATTCCTTTGCCCAGCTTAGACAACTAATCCCTAACTCAACCACCTTTCACTAACATTAACTATATGACCTTAGATGTCTAGCACATTTATCTTGCTTTTAACCATTAACCATTAACCATCATCATCATTTCCTTGGTTCGTCCCACAACGCAGTGTGCTCAGTACCGCTTTATTCCTTCTTGCCGTTAATGACACTGTCTCAGTTTTACCACTAGGAAGCCGATCATCACTATATGTTGATGATTTAACCATCTTTGCCTCTGGCACATCCATACCAAAATCTCCACCAATTCTTTCAGTCTGCAATATTATCAGTATCTTCCTGGGTCACTATCCATGGCTTCCACTTTTCTACCACCAAATATTTTTCAATCCTTTTCTCTCCCACACGTGTAGGTCCTCAACCCCCACTCTTCTTATAAGGCACTCCACTCCAATACCGTTCTTCTGGCAAATTCCTTGGCGTTATTTTTTACTCCAAATTGTCCTGCCGAAACCATATCTTTTACATCAAAGAAAAAGCTCCGAATCTTACAAACTGGGGCTCAGTTCGGAAAACTCTCCTCCGTCTTCATGTAACCTTGATCCTCTCCACTCTCGATTATGGATGCCATACTACCACTCTGCCTCAACCTCCCTCCCTGCTCATCTTGATACACTCCACCACTGCGGGTTTCGCTTGTTCCTAGGCGCCTTCTGCTCCTCTCCAGTTGAGAGCATGTACACTGAATAAGGCATGCCATCTCTCTCTCGACGTCGTACCCTTCTCTCCCTACAAAGCTATGCTCAATTCCACCAACTTTCCCTCACCAAACTAACTATCCCATGATCCCTGCTTACTACCTTTTCTTCTTCTCCATGTTTACCTACTTCTTTCTCCATTCAGATGGATACCCTCCTCTCTCATTCCTCTTTTCCCCATCTCCTATCACACGATCCCTTCTTCCTTTGCTTGTTCTCCACGTTTACATACTCCTTTCTCCATTCGGATGGATACCCTCCTTACAATCTTCTTTTTTTCCCATTTTCCCTACCTCTCATTCTTCCGTTTTCTGTCTATTCTGTCCCTCCATGGCTTATACCTTACCCCCGTATTTGCTCCTCTGTTTTCCCTAACCCACCAAAATCAAATATTCCCCCCGCTGTCCTTCTCACCCACTTCCTTGACCATGTCTCCAGTCATTCCTTCAGTATTCATGTTTATACGGAGGGTTCCAAATCCACCCCTGGTGCTGGTTTTGCAATAACCTTTCCAACTCGCACTTTCAAATATCCCCTCCCTCCTGAGTCCAGTGTCCCTACTACAGAACTGTACGCATTCCTATTTGCCTTAAAACACATATACTCACTCCCTTCTCCCTTAACTCATTAACTCTCATAAAGTCAGTGCACTCGACCAACCCTCTTGTCTGTAAGATTCAGAACTGGTTGTTCTTCCAGTTTACACGCCATAAAACTATCAGATTTTGCTGGGTGCCCAGTCATGCTGGTATCCTCGGAAATGAACAGGCAGATACTCTGGCAAGCTATGCCGCTATGTCCACATCACACCAACCACGTTTCTCACGTGTCCCAGCCATGGATTATTACCCCCACTTAAGGACCTTCTTGTATAAGCGATGGTAATCTTTCGGCCGCAGTGGTGATTTCCCCTACGACACCTGTGTTTGACTTCTCAAGCCGATATGTCGTTTTCTCGGGCTCGAGCCAGCAGTCAGAGCGCAGGCATTTTTACAACCGCCGCGACGGGGAATTGAACCCGGGACCA